CACTAAAAGCTTTGCCACATATTTTACATTTGTAGGGGTTTTCTCCAGTATGAATTTTCTGATGTTGAGTAAGGCATGATTTTTGATTAAAAGCTTTGTCACATTCTTTACATTTGTATGGTTTCTCCCCAGTATGAATTCTCTGGTGTTGAGTAAGGCTTGATCTTTGATTAAAAGCTTTTCCACATTCTTTACATTGGTATGGCTTTTCTCCAGTATGTATTTTCTGGTGTATACTAAGGTATGATTTTTTTTTTTTTAGAGAGAGAGAGAGAACAGAAGAGGAGAGAGAGAGAGAGAGAGAGAGGGAGAGAATGAATATTTTTTAATATTTATTTTTCAGTTTTCGGGGGACACAACATCATTATTTTATTTTATTTGGTGCTGAGGATCAAACCCAGCAGGAAGCGCATGCCAGGTGAGCCTGTTACCGCTTTAGCCACATTCCCAGCCCCTAAGGTACGATTTTTTATTAAAAGCTTTGACACATTCCTTATATTTCCAGATTTTCTCTACACTGTGATTACTGTAGTTTTTTAAAAATGCTTGAACAACACTTAAAGACATTTTCCCATTTCTTATATTTGTAAGGTTTATCTTCACTGTAAAGCCTGTGGATTTTAGTAACAGATAAATTTTGAGTAAAATGTTTTCTACATCCTTTACTTAGGAGGCTTTATCACTGCTCTGATATAGAATTGAGGAATCTTTAAATGCTTTTACATATTTTTATAACATGTAGGGATTCCCTCCAATATTAATTCTCTGGTGTTCATGAATGCTTGCAGTTTTATTAAAAGTGCTTTCACATACCTTATATCTGTAATTTGTTTTTTGGTTATGAATGCTTGGATAAATAAATTTGGGGCATGGGTTAAAATCTGTCTCACTTTTAACCATTGTAAAGCTCTTTAAAATGATCATATGGGTGTTTTCTAGGTTTTAAATAAGAAGTAAATTTTAATGAGTTTTACAGAATTAATATTGTATTACACCAAAAACAAATATACTACAAATTACCTAGGGTAGAAACATGTCTATAGATATTGAAAGATTTATCATAAATATAGAGGTCTCTCCAAGTATCTACATCTGCTATGGTTTAAATGATAAGACAATTTGTCTATATTGTATAGAAAATCAACTCCTTATTACTTTATAATAAAGACAGATTAGAATACTGAAATTTTATATTATCAATCTGTAAACTTTTATCTAATGTGCACACATGTAGAGATTATTGAAAGTTTTAAAACATAATTGATTTTTTAAGCATTTTATTACTGTATTGAATTTTTTCATTAAAATGCCTATTTCTAAATACAGAATCCCTTTATGTTCAAAACACTAGAACAATTAGGGATAACAGGAAATTACCTCAACATGGTAAAAACTGTATATGCTAAGCCTCAGGCCAGCATTGTTCAAATGGAGAAAAATTGAAGGCGTTCCCTTTAAAATCTGGAATAAGACAGGCATGGCCTCTCTCACCACTTCTATTTAACATAGTTCTTGAAACACTAGCCAGAACAATTACACAGACAAAAGAAATTAAAGGCATAAATATAGGGAAAAAAGAACTTAAATTAGCACTATTTGCCGATAACATGATCCCTAGCAGACCCAAAAAGTTCAACCAAGAAACTTCTAGAATTAGTAAATGAATTCAGCAAAGTGGCAGGATATAAAATCAATACCAATAAATCAAAGGCATTCCTGTATATCAGTGACAAATTCTCTGAAATGGAAATGAGGACAACTACTCCATTCACAATATCCTCAAAAAAAAAAATTCTTGGGTATCAACCTAACAAAAGAGGTGAAAGATCTATACAATGAAAACTACAGATCCCTGAAGAAAGAAATAGAATAAGACCTTAGAAGATGGAAGAATTTACCTTGCTCATGGATTGGTAGAATTAATATTATTAAAATGGCCATATTACCAAAAGCACTTTACAGATTCAATGCAATTCCCATCAAAATCCCAATGACATTCCTTGCAGAAATAGAAAAAGCAATCATGAAATTCATCTGGAAAAATAAAAGACCCAGAATAACTAAAGTAATTCTAAGCAGGAAGAGTGAAATTGGTGGTATCGCAATTCCAGATTTTAAACTATACTATAGAGCAATAGTAACAAAAACATCATGGTATTGGCAGGAAAACAGGCTGGTAGTTCAATGGTACAGAATAGAGGACACAGAGACAAACCCACAAAGTTACAACTACCTTGTATTTGACAAAGGTGCTAAAAAAATGCAATGGAGAAAGGATAGCATCTTCAACAAATGGTGCTGGGAGAACTGGAAATCCATATGCAACAAAATGAAATTGAATCCCTTTCTCTCACCATGCACAAAAGTCAACTCAAAATGGATCAAGGAGCTAAGAATCAAAACAGAAACTCTGCATCTAATAGAAGATAAAGTTCACCCTAATCTTCATCCCATGGGGGCAGGCCACAAATTCCTTAATAAGACACCTATAGCACAAAACTTTAAACCAAGAATCAAAAAAAGAAACAAACCCAAACTAAAAAGTTTTTTTCTCTGCAAAACAAATAATATGTGAAGTGAATAGGGAGCCTATATCCTGGGAAGAAATTTTTACCTCTCAAATATCAGATAGAGCTCTAATCTCTAGAGTATACAAAGAACTGAAAAAGTTGAACAACAAAAAAAATAGATAACTCAATCAACAAATGGGCAAAGGACTTGAACAGACACTACTCAGAAGAGGATATACAATCAATCAACAAATACATGAAAAAATGCTCACCATCTTTGTCAATCAGAGAAATACAAATTAAAACTACTCTAAGATACCTTCTCACTCCAATAAGAATGGCAGCCATTATGAAGTCAAACAATAATAAGTGCTGGTGAGGATGCAGGAGAAATAGGTACACTCATACATTGCTGGTGGGACTGCAAACTGGTGCAGCCAATTTGGAAAGCAGTATTGAGATTCCTTGGAAAGCTGGGAATGGAACCACCATTTGCCGCAGCTATTCCCCTTCTCAGACTATACCCAAAAGAACTAAAAAGAGCATACTACAGGGACACAGCAACATCAATGTTTATAGAGCACAATTCACAATACTTAGAATGTGGAACCAACACCTAAATGCCCTTCAATAGATGAATGGAATAAAAATGTGGCATTTATACACAATGGAATATTACTCAGCACTAAAATATAACAAGATCATGACATTTGCAGGGAAATGGATGGCATTAGAGCAGATTATGCTAAGTAAAGTTAGCCAATCCCTAAAACAACAAATGCCGAATGTCTTCTCTGATATAAGTAGGGTGACTCAAAATGGGATAGGGAGGAAGAGCATGAGAAGAAGACTACCACTAAATAAGGAAGAGAGGTGGGAGGGAAAAAAAGGGAGAAGGGGAGTTGCACTGAAGATGGAAGAAGAACCTCATCGTTATACAGAATACATGTATGATGTTGTAATGAGAAAAAGAAAAAAAAAGTGTGTCACATTAGATTAGATAGAGTGAGATAATGGGAGAGGAGGGGAGCAGTAGGGGGGATAGGAAGGACAGCAGAATAGAATAGACCTTATGACTGCTGTATGTATATAGGTGATTCTATGATCAGTGTGATTCTGCAATCTGTACAATTAGAAAAATGAGAAATTATACCCCAATGATTCAAATGTATGAATTGCCAAGATCATTGTAATATCATGTGTAGCTAATAAAAAAAAAATTAAATTTTAAAAACTTGCTTATTTCTAAACCTGAGCAAACTGGTTGAATCTTTATTTTCCTGAAGAGATTGTTAAGGTGCAGCATCATAATGGCTTGCAAATATCACATATATATGTAATTTGATACATGTTTTTGAATTTGAAAATATTTTGAATTGTAAGTTTTTTTTTTTACACAGAATACAAAGTAGTAAAAAGTTTATGATTACAATAATGTAATTAAAAGTTTTAACCAAATAAAAAGTAACTGGCACATTTGAGCAGTCAATTTTTTGAGATGCTTATAATAATATAACCTGATGAATGCTTGGATAAATAAATTTGGGAAATTTTTGTGTAATTTTGTGTAATTTTCTGTATAAATAATTTTCATGTTTTTTCTTCATTTAAAGAATTTTTAAAATTTCCTATTCTTTCAATTTCTATTCCTTATTTAAAATTAAGAATTACCTGTCTTGTTATACATACCTTCTCTTTATCAAGTTTTGCAAAAAACATTTTATTTCTTGATCTCCTGAAAATTCTTGGTTTTGATTAGAAGTCATACCTGAAAAAAATTAAAATAGCAAGTTATTCTGCTTACTACACTATGATGAATATACTCTGCAAATATATAAAATTTTATAAAGTTGGGGGGATAGTCAGAGAACAGTATAATTCAAAGCCACTTTTACTCAAGAACTATACAGAGAATACTAGAATACAATGACAAAAGTTGTGAAAACTTTGAAAAATCATCTTAAAAATTTATAGCACCACAGATGAGGACAGCATTCAAACTGACTACTGTTACCACAACAATATCAAATCACAGCCCTTCAATTCAAATTACTCAGACTCCACCTGTGACACAAATGTTGCAGGAAATGAATATCTCTTACTTATTTGTTATCTCTTTGGGGTTTATTTCTTAAGATAGAACACAGGAGTATTCTATCACTAAAATATATCCAAGACACTTCTATATTTATGCTTTTTTTGAGACACTTTATCAGAAAGATGCTGAAATTTATTTCAACTGGCATTCCACTGCCTCGGCTTCTGAGTTATATGGAATTACATTGGCATATCATTGCACATGACCTGTTTTTGTTTCCTTTGTAGCTTACAAATATTTTCCAAAATGACTTTAATGATGTAGTTTAACAGATTTTAAATATAAAAATTTCAATGAAAATAATAGCTCATACAATAAAGGGTATTATCAACTCAAGCAAACAAAGAATATAACACTAGTAATTGAGAGTTAAAAAGTTGATGCTGTTAAATAACTAAGCAATGCCAAAAAACTACTTGAAAGATATTTAATAAAATAAATAACAATGTAGAAACTTGAAAGAAATTCAGAAAAAATATAGCAATAGAAAAAGCAGAAATTATATACTAAAAATATTTTTTATAAAACAATGCCTCAGGCTGGGGACACAGCTCAGATGGTAGAATGTTTACTTCACATGCAAAAGGTGGGGCTTTATTCCTGGCACCACACATACACATTTCACACACACACACACACACACACACACACACACACACAGTCACATACATTAGAAATTTGAAGAATATATTAAAGACTAGAATTAATTAAAAGACACAGATAGGGCTGGATAATGTAGTGTATGACTGTAATCCCAGCATCTGGGGAGGCTAAGGCAGGAAAATTATGAGTTCAAAGAGAGACTCAGCAATGGTGATGCATGAAGCACCTCAGTGAGACCCTATCTCTAAACAAAATACAAAATAGGCTGGTGATGTGGCTCAATGATTGAGTGTCCCTGAGTAAAATCCCCAGTACCAATAAATAAATAAATAAATAAATAACACAAGTTAATAAATTTATTTTTTTTGTTGTTTTTCTTTTTTTTTCTTTTTTTATTGGTTGTTCAAAACATTACATAGCTCTTGATATATCATATTTCACACTTTGATTCAAGTGGGTTATGAACTCCCATTTTTACCCCATATACAGATTCAGAATCACATCAATTACACTTCCATTGATTTACATATTGCCATACTCATGTCTGTTGTATTCTGTTGCCTTTCCTATCCTCTACTATCCCCCCTCCCCTTGCCTTGCCTCCCCTTTTCTCTCTCTACCCCCTCTACTGTAATTCATTTATCCCACTTGTATTATTTTTCTCTTTCCCCTCACTTCCTCTTGTATGTAATTTTGTATAACCATGAGGATCTCCTTCCATTTCCATGCAATTTCCCCTCTCTCTTTCTTTCCCTCCCACCTCTCATCCCTGTTTAATGTTAGTCTTCTTCTCATGCTCTTCTTCCCTACTCTGTTCTTAGTTACTCTCCTTATATCAAAGA